AACAAACTCCATGACGTAGTGACGGCCCGCGCGGTTGCCCACAGTGAGCGCCTCAAGCTTACTGGACCAGGCAGAGAGATTATGAAGCTTCTCCACAGACCCACGGAGAACCTTCCAGAACTACCCGAGCAACTTCCACCATGGGAAGACCTCGCGGAGATCACCGACAACAAGCCTAGTGCACGCAAGGGGGACACCAAGCAGCTAACACGTAAAGCCAAGGCGCACACTAAGATGGTAGAAGCATGGGATCCGAGTTGCATCATGGCTGCTTACACGGATACCGCATCGCTAGACGGCCCTGTCACCCTGAAGACGGTAGCTGCAGCCATCCCTGCCCTACAAATCAGCGCTACCAAGCAGCTCCCCGAAGGCGCCTCGACCAAAGGAGGAGGACTCACAGCAATCCGCCTCGCCCTTGAGACGGTCCTCGCACTCCCCGACCCGCTAACAACGAATCTCCGGATATTTACAGATTCGCAAGAGGCGGTGAAGGAATGTAGAATAAGGAACAGTCCAAGCCGGATAGTCCGCTCGATAAAAAAACTTGCTTCTCAACTAGCTTCAAGAGGCACCTCCACAAGAATTGCATGGGTTCCCGGTCACGCGGGCATACCCGGCAACGAACAGGTACATTGCCTGGCCCGCGCCTCGCTTATTCTTCCCCGCGGTTCAGACGACATACCTGCATCACAACATGACCACGGGTACGGCCACGCTCGCGATCGGGCATAGGCCAACTGGGAACCACAAGAATATGATCCAGGCGAGGTTCGGGCCAAGATCAGAGAAGACTATCTAGCAAAACTCGAAGAGAAGCTCCCCGAAAACCCAGATCCGCTCCCTTGCACGGGTTTTGGAAGACGGGCGAGAGTTCTCCTGACTCGAGTGAGGACGGACACCGCACTAACACCAGCGCGCATCGCATCTTGGAGCCAAGGAAAACGATCCGGAACTTGCTCCAAGTGCAATATGGGCGTGAAGGCAGACATTTTTCACTTGGTGTGGGAGTGTCCAGAGTACAAAGACATAAGGGCAAGACATCGACCAACAGACATCGCATCTATGGAGGGGTGGACACATCCACCAGGCTCCGAGAGTGACAGACGAAGAGTCTTGAAAGGTCTCTTGGATTTTATCTATGAGGCCAAGCTGGACATATTCATTTAGATTTAGTTACCTTTCCTTAGTGCCAGCGTCCAGATCTTGATATCACCGGCGCACTCCCTATACTCCCTTCCCTCTTTTCTTCCCTTTTTTTTTTCTTTTACTTCTTTTCTTTTATGGCATTAAACGTTTTCTGACTGACTGACACTGTCAATGCTAAGAGCTCGTGCCGGGAGACGCGCTTTCTCGTGCTCCGGAACAAAAAAAAACAAAAAAAAAGTAAAAAAAAAAAAAAAGAAACAAAAGTGTTTGGAACGAATGGTCAAATATCTTTTTTTTTTGTTGTTGTTGTTGGTGGTGGTGTTGTAGTGCCCGATGTCCACTACCACTCACGAAGCCTGGAAGTTCGACGACGGAGCCATAGAGTGCCCGGTCGCAGAATTGGAGCGCGAAGATCTGGTAGCACAGAGCATTTCTCGGGGAACCTAAAGCCTCTCGATGTGTTCGCGTTTGTCTTGCGAGTAGCGTCAAATGCGCGAGTGCACGAGGCCCGTGTCTCGAATGGCCCTTGGAAGTAAATGGCGGCGCAGCACTGAAATGAGCGGCCCTTGGAAGCCAATGGCGGTGGAGCAGCCGCTCGTAGCACGTGTCTGGCGCGTTTCCACAACAATGGTTGGCGGTGTTTGTAAAAGACGCGTTTGTCAAGGGGCTTTAGGGGAGCCTAGAGTTCCTCTATAGGCTCCCTACGGGAGCCAGAGTTGCTCTTTCATCTCCGTAGCGCCGTTCTTCTTGTACGGCATGTTGATCCCGCTCGTCACGTGACTGAATTCGGCGAATAGCGGCGCCACATGTTCGAGGTGCGCGGCGCGCTCAAAAGCCGGGGAGCGTACGCTGGGGCGCGTGCAACGTCTACTTCCCTGCACGGCACTTGATCCGGCTCCTTACGTGATCGCGCAACTGTGGCTACCGTAGGGAGCCTGTACAGGAACTCTAGGCGAACCTGGTCGTCTGCGCACAGCTTTTGCAGCGGCGAGGACACGAAACATGGTCTTCTAACCCGACGAAAAAGAAGCGGTAGCGCGAGGAACGCGCGGAGTACGAGCGGACATTCCATCGTTCGGGAGAAGTGTGTTGCGGCGTCTCGACGCAGCGGGGCACCCGTCACAGGGCTCTGCTTTCATTCGTTGTCTGCCGCTCTACCTTTTCAATTTCGGCGGCTGCTTCTCGTGGCGATCTGCCGGGCTTTGTCCGTATAGAGGAGGCCATGCCACTACACGCGATCCCTGAAAAAAAAAAAAAAAAAAAACGGTCGATAACAAAATGAGGGAGACGCTCTTTCACGCGCTGCGGAACCAAAATTGTAACAAAACCGTTCGGAACAAAATGGTTAGATTTCTATTTTTGTTCAAAACGCTTTTTTTACGCACCCAAGGTACGTGAACGCGACGCCGATGCCCAACGACTTCGCCGTGACGTGTCGCAGCTGTCGCTGTGGCTGTAGTGTGGACTAACACAGGACTGCTCTTTTTATTAAGTATAGACGCTTTCAGGCAGCTGTGCATGGGCGCCGCCATAACCGACCTTCAGTTTTTCTTCCCTCTTATTCCGTTCGCTCCACTTCATCATCACCACAGCAGGACAGGTTATTGCCATGTGAAGTGTTACTGTGTCCTTCTCCTCAGCATAGGCCCTTGTGGAGACTCGTCAACGCCCGCTTCAGTGGCTCGGCATCTCGGCAAGACAAGAGAAGGTCGGCTATGGCGGCTCGATTTGGCGCGCGCTGAAAGCGTCTATACTAGGTGGTGTCCAAAACTTGTGGGACTGGTGCAACCGTATGAGCCGACGTTTCTGTAGTGCAAAGCAACGGTATGTGGAAGCACTTACAAAGCTTGTAAGTCAGTGTTGAAATCTATTTTTGCGACGTCGTGATTACGGCGTGTGGAGATTTTCGTGATGGATCAAAGAAAGGAACAACGAATGTGCATGACAGTTTTTTTGGAAAGCTCGAAAAAACACAATGCAACGGAAACAGCAAATATTTAATAATGTTCTGGAGAAGTTGTAGTCGGAGGTCAAGCTCTGCCGTGTTCTCGTCTTGGAGAAGATTGCCTATTTGGGTTAGTGTTCGGGTGACGGCTGAGCGGACGATGCCGCGGGTTCTTCGGTTGCGGTCCATCTCGTTTCCCAAGTTTCGGCACCAGTGTTAAGGAAGAGATCCCGGGCACGTCCGTTTCGATGGTGTCGGTTTATTGTTCTCTCTCGTGCCGTTCATGAACTGGTGGTTCTGCGCTCCTTTACCTCCTTTTCCTCTCGTTACATACTACCAGATCGCATAATCTAAAACACCGGTGACCGCGCGCTGAGATTCGCTCCAGAGGAACAGTGCAGTCCATGAAGGCAGTCTCGAACGGTTGTTGAGGCCTTATCAATGGAGTTATCGGAACTTTGTCTGTAGCTTTCCACGTGAAAAAATCTTGCACTCGTGAGATACCTGGCAATGCCTCTTGACGTCAGCCGCCATAGTCGGCCAAATAATGAACTTCCAAGATGTTATTTTGTTTTCTCCTTAAAGAAATGCCCCCCCCCCCCCCTACCCCCGGCGGGAGGTTCCCTTTTTTACCTGTTCCCATTTCAGCCTTCCCGTTTATACCTTCCCGTTTCAACCCAGTTCAAAACGCCCTTCTCGTTTTATCTTTTCTGATATCGCTCTATCCCGAAACGACCTTCCTGCTTCGACCATTGTTCGTTATCAGTTGGGTCGAACCAAGTGTCCAATGTCTGTCCTCCTTGGTGACCTCATTGCGCCCACTCCCGAAACAACCTTGAAATTTGGTTACCAGTAGTTACTTTCTGCACACTTTTCTGGTGTTTGTGGTGCCTACAGTGCTGCAAACGAACATAGCAGTTATCGCTGTCTCACCGGTGGGTCACGTGACCTAGGGGGGGGGGTGTAACGTGATTTTTTTTGGGGGGGGGGGTCACGTGACTTTGGGGGAGGGGTCACGTGGGGGTCACCTTGGTAGGTCACGTGACCTTGGGAGGGGTTCACGTAACCTCGGAGGGTCACGTGACCTCGGGGGTCACGTGACCTTGGAGGGTCACGTCAGAGTCGTATATGGGGAGAGTTTGGCCAGCCTATGATCTCGCCGCCGTAACGCTCTCCTCCCAACTGAGCCAATCAGCACGCGGCGTAGAGCGAGAGGCATGAGCGCATGCGCGTGAACTCCCGGCTGCTCCCACCTGAGTGTGGAGGGCCGCCATCTTCGATCCCTGCGGAACGCGTAGGATCGGCATCTAAATCTCGATTATTGCCTTTTATATCGCTGGCTCTGGCAAGAAAATGACATTCTGTTATTCCTCGGTGGGTTAAAAAGCTAATAAATTAAGATTTTTTGGCGTATGGCCACAAACTTTTATTCAGGCGAAAAAGAAGTCGGCCCGTAGCAGACGACGCGTAGCCTCAGCAGTGTTCTTCTCCGACCAGTCTCCGACAGCGTTGCTCAAATATGGCGGTCGTCTCCTCTCCGCTCCCTTCTTTCTCTCTCGCTCCTTCTGCGCTCTCCTCCCTTTCATTTCCTTTTGTCCTCTCCGGCGCCCTCGTCGCCACACCCACTGGCCAAACTCTCCCAATATACGGCTCTGGGTCACGTGACCTTGGGGTGACCTTGGTTACGCCGACGCCGCTCAAGCCGGAAACGGGCGCCTAAGAGCTGCGCTCTAACAGACAATGAAATAGGAAGCACTTTCTCAAAACAATGTAATCGTTTTTGTTTGTTTTTTTAGTTTGGCTTTTACAGCCCACAAGGAGTCACTAAAGCTGCAGCTGCCTTGCATTAGTGTTTCGACAGAGAGAAGGCGACCTTAAAGTCTTCCGTATTCTATTATTCATCCAAACTTCATACGGAAGACATTCCCCACGTTCTACAATGCTGTTGCTAAAGGCCATACTCGTCGTTTTAAGCACGGCAATTGGTGAGTGAACATTATTTTTTTTCTTGCAGTAATCGAAAATAGGGAGATGAATTCTATGAAACAATTCTACGAAACCGCCGAAACAAAAAATGTTTGACGGAGCCGGGAACTGAACTCCGAGCTTCCCAATATCCGGTCGGGAGTGCTAACCACTACACCGGTCCTCCTTGTCTTTCTAGCTTACCTGTCTTATTAATGCACCGAAACGAAGTGTTTTTATTCAGAGGTGTTCTGGAAGCACACTTTAGCGCGTGGAAAGCGGTACAACGCTTGCTGGCACGGAGTACATGCTCGTTGAGCTCCAGAATTTCTCTCACTGTTTGCCTCATCACGTGTACATGCATTATTTCTTCTTTGTGAGCTTTAGAAACATGGTATCAGCATATTTTTTCTTACAATACATCTATCGCAAAGAAAGAAAAAAAAAATTAAACAAACGTTGATGCTAAACGAGTATTGAAATATATTGATTTACATATATTTGAAGAGCGACATGTGATCTATATTTTATAAATATATTTGAAAAAAAAATATATATGTGTATATATATAAATAAAAAAAGATATATTCATATATACATATTTTTTTTTTAGCACTTGCAAATATTTTACTCCTTCGCAAGTCGGTCGTACAGCAAAAGCAAAATTAATTGAACTTACTTAAATTAATCTCAGAAATCAAGTGCGCAGGCTCGGACACTGTGATTTAGCATAAACATGGGAATAGGCGGTGCACTCATTGTTTTACACAAAAGAGCAAACTTGACTCACTCAAAAGTTACAAGTAGGAGACGAAAAGTTTCGCACAAAAGTTTCGCACGCAGCGCTTTCCCAGAAGCCAGTAGATATTTGTTAAGTGCCTAAAACAGAATTCACCCTGCGATGTTACATTTTCCACAAATAAGAAGTGTTATTTTGCTTCTCAATGTCTTAACGTGCTGGTCGTCTTTGATTATAGTTCTTCCAAGTTGAAAACTCTTGTATATCCGCTTTGTGATTTCACATAGACTATTCAAAATGGAACCAATAAATTGAACATCAAATTAATAATTTTATTTATTATCAAGTAGTTAATCGAAGCTAATGTTATATATTATTGCCAAATGAGATAGTTTTTAATTACTTTGAAACAAGGTGTATAATATGATTAAAGTGCACTACTTTGAAGGGGTACTGGAAAGAAATTCTAGCTCCAATGTTATTGTCTGAATGTAAGCCACGTTCTCGCCACACCACGGAGAGATGAAATTTCTTGCACGAAAAGACACAAAAACATTATTTGAAACGAATAAACCGAATGTCGTCACGTCATATTCCCCGTAAAAGCAGCGCTGCTCCGCGGACTTACGGCGTCAAGCTGGTGCGCGCAAGCCCTGTCGAACTTGGCCGACACGGAATTTTTAAGTGAGTCAGAGTACTGTAAGAAAGAAAAGACGAAGGATTTTCTTTTCTCTCCCGCCCCTATTCAACTCCTGCGGGGAACGGGAAGCGGCCATTTCGAACGTCCAGGTTGTAACGCGTTGACGCCACCAAGTGGCGAACCCCAGCAGCCACGAAAACATGACGTCACGAGCGTGCCGGACCAACGCTAGACTCGCCGGATCTCCCGAGTCGTGTCGCGCTCTCCGATTGCTACTCTTCCAGCGCTCGCTGATATCGGCGGTTTAAAAAAATAAAGCAATCTGTTCAAAATACAAACGTGAGATTGTCATTAGCGGATTTCGTTGAAAATGTTTGATTAATTCCTGAACGTGAGAGATATATTTAAATTTTTATTTCAGTATCCCTTTAAAAACCAATATACGTTACAAATAAAGATATTAAGTTTACTCTCTATATCTTTTTTACAAAAAAAAAAATGCAATAACTGCACCAAGTATTTCCCCAACGAAAACTCATATTTACATGTCAGAATGGGCTTTGTTACGCCTGGATGAGATTTAACAGCGAGCTGCACGAACTTACAGTGACTCAGCCGAACAAGTATGGGAAGCATTTACTGACCTTTAATTATAAACGCATAGTTTCAAGCTGATTTGAAGCTGGCCTTTAAACGCACATATTGAAGCTGACCTTTAAACGCACATACTGAAGCTGACCTTTAAACACACATTTTACAGCGACAGCTGTTAGGAACTCTTTCGGCACCTGGGAATTACATTCGTTGTTAATGTTGTAATTGTTGTTGATGTTGTAGTTGGAATTGTAGAGCGTCCGTCGTCGATGTTGCCAAATCTTGGAAAAAGATCGCCCGCTGCCCACGAGAATCGAAACTGGGTCCGCTGCGTCCGAAGCGGAGGCCTTACCACTGAACTACGGCAGAAAGTTAACAACCCGTGTAGAAGGGTGGTGAGCTGGGCTAGTTGGTACGGGTTCAAAAATATTAAAATCAGCGAACAACGTTGGGAAACTGTTGAAGAAAACAGAAGACAGGAAAGACGCTGAAACTCACAACTCAATATATGTCAAAAAGAGAAGAAGAAACAAAATGGCAGAATATACAGGCAGATGCTAATGGCTAGCGAACTCCGGAGCGCGAGGCAATAACTTTAGACCTTGAACGGTTTAAAAAGGGTATTTATTTTTGTGATAAAGCTACTGTTGGCTGCCTTGCGCAGCTCTTCCCTAACCGCTCATTCACACTGGAAGCGGATCCGCATTCGCAAAGCGGTTGTGAACGCGGTTGTATAGACGCTTTGCAGCAGCTGTGCATGGACGCCGCCATAACTGACCTTCAGTTTTTGTTTCCTCTTATTCCGTTTATTTCACTTCATCATTACCATAGCAGGCCAGGTTATTGCCATATTAGATTCAACTGTGTCCTTTTCTAAAGCATCGGCCTTTTTAGAGGATCGTCAACTACCGTTTCAGTTGCTCGGCATCTCGGTAAGACAAGAGAAGGTCAGCAATGGCGGCTGTGATTTGGCGCGTGTGTAAAGCGTCTATAAAGATCCAGTGCAATCGCACGCGCACTGGATGACATCAAGTGCGCGTGCAATTGTACTGGATCTTTATACAACCGCGTTCGCAACCGCTTTGCGAACGCGGATCCGCTTCCAGTGTGAATGAGCGGTAAACCCTGTATATTAAACGCCTCATAAATTTCTCTGGTACGTTTTTTCTTATATCTACCTATAATATTAGTGTAAAGGCAAGTGACCACCTAGGTTGGATCTAAGGGATGGTAATGGTCACTAAAGTCACTGGATCCTGGGAAAGAAGCGCCATTGCCTCCCCTACCTGCTAGCCGGACACAAACGGATACTAACATACAGACAACCCAAACATAGCAAGGCGATTGGCTAATCGGTCTACGTTGCCATGGAAATCGCCATCTTGGTCCATTCAAATCTTCGAAGCTTCCAAAGGGCCGTTCTAAACCATTCGCGCCAAGATTTCCATGGAGCTTCATCGTACTGGAGGCGTTCCTCGCCAATATAAGGGTCTTTGGCACTCTGTATGCAATCAACTTATTATTCATGCCCATCTCCATGGATCTCTTACAATTATATTCTTCTTCTTGCGTATTTCAGTACAGTGAACTTATTCTTCAGTACCTAAGGGGTATTCACACGAGGGAGAAATCCCGGGGATTTCTCCCCGGCACGCGCATCCCACGACGAAAACGCCAGGCTTTGCGATGTGCAAAAGCCTCGCGTTTTCATCTCGTGATGCGCGCGTGCCGGGGAGAAATCCCCGGGATTTCTCCCTCGTGTGAATACCCCTTAAGGTGGTACAAATGTGTGCGCTTGTTTCGCCGGTGTGTGGTTAGCAAAATCTCGGTATACAAAAGCCACTCCATAAAGCTACCCGTCACTAACGAATCTAGATCGGCTCACCAAGAACGGAGGGGTCAAGGAGAAATTGCTAATTTCACAGACCAAGATGGCGACCATACGGGGCGCTTGGCGTTACTTTCCCAGGATCCAGTGACTTTGATGCTCACGAAGCCTGTCGTTAGCACACCGTCCAGTCTGTCCGACATAACTTCTACCACATGAAAAGGGAATGATGTACGCCACGCCCTGTACCTCCTTCGTGGTGTACAGCATCCCGTTGTCATGTGGTAGAAGTTATGTCGGACAGACTGGACGGTGTGGTAACGACAGGCTTCGTGAACATTACCATCACTTAGACCTAACCTATGTGGTTGCTTGCCTTTACACTGTCGTAATTGTTCATGTTGTTCAACTCTGGCTAACTCTAATAGTATAGGATATAAGGAAAAACTTACCAGAGGAATTTGTGAGGCGTTTATTATATATGATTTCGGGAAGCGCTGCGCGAGTCAGCCATCAGTGGCTTTATCACAAAACTAAATATCCTTTTTAAAGCGTTCAAGGTCTAAAGTTATCGCCTCGCGCTCCGGAGTTCGCTAGCCATTAGCATCTGCCTGTATATTCTGTGACATTTTCTTTCTTCTTCTCTTCGGAAGATATGTTGAGTTGTGAGTTTCAGCGTCTTTCCTGTCTCCTGTTTTCTTCAACAGTTTCCTAACGTTGTTCGCTGATTTTAATAATATTTAACAACCCGCTTTGTACTTAGTGTTTCTGTAGCACTCGACGCCCACTCCACGCGCTCTATGGGGAAAAATAGCTGATAACAGAATGCCGTTCTAGCACTGTCAATGCTAAGAGCTCGTGCCGGGAGACGCGCTTTCTCGTGCTCCGGAACAAAAAAAAAACAAAACAAAAAAGTAAAAAAAAGAAAAAGAAACAAAAGCGCTTAAAACGAATGGTCAAATGCCCGATGTCCACTATTATTGCGTCCTCTATAGGTATGTGGTTTTCAAGTTTTGAGCAGCGCTCCAGGCCAGCAAGATAGAATATTTGGCTCGCGTTTGCGTCATTACGCTTCCCCACTAGAGTTTTTTTATTCTCTGTTCCATTATAAGTGCCAGCGTAGCAGAGGCATATACAAGAGCGAGTTCCGAGCTTTCAGTGTCCTTGCCAAGCACGTGCGCTCGTGCAGTGCGAACATCGTTCGGGGGAACGTGCTTTC